CCAGTGCGCTGCTCGAGGGTGCTCGGAGCCCCTCCTGCTCTGTTTTCGGTTGACCCAGAAGACAAAACAAGACAGAAATCCGGAAGCCACAGAAATCAGAAGAGCGCAGCGTGCCCGTCAAACTGCAACCCAGCGAGGGCTGGGCCAGGCTGGGTGAGCAGCTGCCGGGGCCAGGAACGCAGCGAAGCGCCAGCCGGGGTAGAAATGTCCCCTCTGCTGAGGGGGTGTCACCGCACACCTGAGCCCTGCTGCACCCCGGGCATGGGGAGCAGGTCCCAGAGGGCAGCAGGCAGCTCGCGTGGTGGCAAGGGTGGGGTTGGGCGACTTTGGGGCTGCAGTGAGGGAAACCGGGGGAAACCTGTGACAAAATTTATATCGGGGGTTGATGGCACTGAGCTGAGGGGCACGGAGGAAGGCACGGAGGAAGGCACGGATGGAGCAGCTGTGTCCCACCCCCTGGTCCTGTCACCCAACCCTGACATCCGCCACTGATCCCAGATGGGTGCTTCCCCTCGGGGTGTCTGGGCGTTGCCTGTGCCCACGTGCAGGGTGCGTGCGCTGCAGGGTGCCCGTGGAGCAGGACGCACACAGTCGGGGTGCTCTCTATGTAGGGTGCCCGTGGTGCAGGGTGTGTGCATGGTGCAGGGTGCCCACAGTGCGGCGTGTGCATGGCACAGGGTCGAGCACTGCAGGGTGCTGGTAGTGCAGGTGCCTGGGGTACGTGGTGCGTGCCCGGTGCGGAGTGCGCAGGGGCTTGGCAGTGCCAAGTACACACGGAGCAGGCTGCCCGTGCCGCAGGGTCCCCACGGGACCGGCTTCACTCTGGGCTCGCTGCAAGGCTCTGGACGCCTCTGCCCCGCTGGCTTCCTGCTGCACCAGGCAGGCGTGCCGGCAGGGGAACAAGAAACCACAGCATCCCTCTCTGACTTGGCCTGGCACTGAGCGGGCTGAGATTGTTCTCAAGAGCATCCGGTGTCCTGCCGGTCCTTGCCGACGTGGTGACACCCACAGCTTCGAGTGGGGGTGGGTGGGGGAAATGGGTGCTGCTGGGCCGTGCCGGGAAGCGGCGGAGCAGAGGCTGTGCTCTCTGTCCCTGCCGCGGGTTGCTGGGCCCCCCTGGGCTGCCCCGAGCTTGGCTCCTCCACCCCAGCCAGAAATGTCACCATGGGGCCTCTGCCACCGGGGCTTTGCCACTCAGCAGAAGGTGCTGGGTGGGGCATGGAGCGATTGCAGCGGAAGGCTGGGGAGCCCTGAGCCCCCTGCCAGCCCCCTGCCCTGCCCAGCCCCTGCGCCACAGGCAGAGCCTCTGCAGCACTGTGTCATTTATTTCCAAAGCACCCTCTCATCCTGCCAGCACCCTGGCAAGGTAGGTCAGTGTCGGGTCTGGGGCAGGAGTTAGTCCCATTTTGCAAGAAGTTAAGTCACACGACGTTGCTCAAGGTCCCAGTGTGGCAACAGCCAGCTGGGAGGAGAGGTCGGGGCTCCTGTGTCCCTCCCTGCCCCATGTCCTGGTCTGTAGGAGGGTGCCCCACGCTCCCCCCACCCCGGTATCCTCTGCCCAGATGCATCCCCGATGGTCCCAGCACACACCAGCCCCATGCTAGGTGTTGAACCAGCTCGCCAGGTCAGGATAGACACGGCCGCGGGGCAGGCTGGGGTAGGCAGTGCAGATGGTGCAGATCCGCTCCCTCCAGTCGGTATAGAGCTTCACGCTGTACTTCTTCTGCCAGGCAAAGAACTGCCGGTAGCGGCTGGAGTTCATGGTCTTCAGGAAGGTGGCCAGCTCCGCCAGGGAACCAAAGTCATCGACGTGAATGAAGGAGTCTGTAGGAATGAACTGCTCATAGTTGGCCCGGGGAGGCCCCAGCACCACGGGCACGGTGCCTGCCATCAGCGAGTTCCTCCAGAGCTTCTCGGTGATGTAGTCCTGGTGGATGGAGTTCTCGAAGGCCAGGTAGAACTTGGACTTGGATGTTGTTGGCAAGAGGCAGTCCTTGCAAAGTGGCTTTTTGTTTGCTTTCCCGTATATGTTCACGTGGAGGTACCTGGAGAGGTTTTTGTAGATTTCGGCTCTCTTCTGAGTCCTGCGGTAGTTGCTGATAACCCAGGACACCAAGTTGGTCTTTGTGGGGATGTTCACGGTGGCCGACTGGTTGGGCACAAGCTTGCCATAGGGGATGAAGATGTCCGAGTCCCGTCTGTAGGTCATCACCCAGTTGAAGGTCTGGTTCCATTCCGCTAGAGCTTTAGTGTTGGAGGGGGACTCCAGGGAGACCCACACCCAGTTCTGCCCCGGTGGCCTCTCCTTGGGCAGCCTGTCCCGGCCCGGCTGGAGCCTGGCGTGGGGGAACACCACCACGTTCGCCTGGCCCAGGAGCCGCCGCTCCGTGGTAAGCCAGCAGCCCGCGATGCCATACAGCTCACGGCAAATGTCCCCGCTGATGTTGGGAACCTGCTTCGAGGGCCATTTCCACACCAGGACCACCAGCGGCTTAGTGTGCTTGGGCACTTCTCTGGAGATCTCAGAGGGGTTCAGGAAGCACCTCAGGTTCCAGAGGGTGGTTACAAACACTCCAGCGGTGACCACCGCCTTCAGACTGGGCCGGCCCCACGGTGGCCGTGGCAGCAGCGATGTCCAGAGCATGCTGCCAGGCAGGCTGTCACCTTCTCAGGGGACAGAGCTGACACCTGGGAGAGAGGAGAGGCCACCAAGGGCTGTCAGCTCAGCTTGCCGGGGGTGAGGGATGTTGGGGAGGCGCTGGGGCCAGAGTGGATGGAGAAAGGGCTTCTCCATGAAACCTGTGCCCCAGTGTCACCCCTGGTCATTCTGCTGGTCCCCAGCCCCCCGCCCAGGGGGGGACTGGAGTGTCCTGCCTGAGAAGTGCCCCCTCACCCCAGCACCCTCCTGCGGCGACGGCAGGGCTCTCCCCAGGCTCAGGGTGCTCTCCCCAGCCACCAAGCGCACGGGGAGCCCCAGCAGGCTGGGAGCTCGCAGCCTTGGTGCCCCACACTCGTATTTTATTTTCGGGGTGTCACAGATGGCCAGTGCAGGCAGGGCAGTGCAGGCAGGGGGCCATTTAGGGCTGCCGCTGGTGAGGCTCAGCCTGCAGGCCCATGGGAATCCCATCCACGAGATGCTCGCCCCACCACGGCGCCCATCTGCCTGCCTCAGGCCTCTGCTGGCAGCGCTGCGCTTTAACCAGTGTCACTGATGGGAAGGGAGAGCAGCGGCAGGGGCGGTGAATTAGGGAACAAATGGGTAATTGTTAGCATAAACTATTGTAGCTAGTAACTCCGATATAGCATAGATGCTGTTGGAAGCATAATAGAACGTTTGGCAAAGACGCTTGTAACCCTATTGTTAGCAGAAGTTACAAAAATTGGGTAGATAACAGAAACTTGACTGTATACACTCAGTGGCCATCTGGTTGAAACCAGCCTTGCGGTCTGAAGCTCAGCCAGCTCAGCATTCTGGGCCAAAGGTGAAGGTACCCGGTGAAGAAGACTGTGCATCTTCCTCCAAAAGACCCCCATAGACGACCACCAGACGGCAGTACGCGTGCGCCAGGAGGAGGGAGCCCATGATAATAGGTTCTTGGAAATAATTAAAATATCCCGCCTTTTCTTAGAACGAGTTGTACTAACCCAGCCTATGGTAATGAATATGTACACCGCAGAACCATATAAGGGACAGTTGATGCAACATACAGTGTGCAAGCCAGGAGGAGCTATCCCCCTTGCACCCGGCGCCGTAATAAACATACCTGCTTTATAACTCTTTGGAGTTGTGAAGTTTGATTCCGCACGTCAGCGGTGAGTGGGACGCTTGGCCGGGCTGGGGACTGGCCGCCAGCCCGAGCCCACCTGGGAGTGCCGGTCCCAGGGGCAGGGCTCAGTGCCCACGGGCCACCCACAGTGTTCCGCACCAAAGGCGGTTTTGCTTTTGAGGTAACCTGAAAACACACTGGCTGCCCGAGCCCCACTGCTGGCCAGGGCTGTGCTGGTTCCTCTACGATTTTGGAGCCTCCTGAAAAGCAGTGGCTTGCTTTCCCACCCCAGCTGCTGCAGCTTTGCTGCGAAAAAGTCCCTTCCCTGCCTTGGCCCGCTCCGTCTGTCCTGCTAAAATACACAAGCTAAGTTTAGGCTCCAGAAGAACTTGGCATCCGAAGCAGGGAGGGTTGGGAAAGCTTTGCCGGCTCCTTGCGCTGCATACCAGTGCTTCGGGTCCCTCTGCCCACCGGTCCCCAGCAGCGGGGATGATGCCCCCATTTTGAGGATGCCCTGGGAGGGGACACCCCACTCCGGCAGTGCCAGGAGCTGACCCGTTTCTCAGCCCCTCTCCCCACGACGGGCGGTTGTGCTGAGCTCAGACTTACCGGGAAAGGGCTGGCATGGCGGCGTGTGAGGTGCCCGAGTGCGTCTGCCCAGGCAGCTGCTGGCGCTGGGCTGTGGCACTTGAGGACTTCCTCTTTTCTGCGGTTTCGCCTCGTCCCGGCCCCACAGCAGGTCCTCCCTGCTGCACGCGGCAGCTGGCACAGCCCACTCCCAGCACTTCCCGCTGTGGGCAGCGAGGTTCCCCACAGCTGGGTGCGTGCTTTGGGCGCGGGTGCATGCCCATGGCCGGAGGGGTGCCCCATGGCTGGGTGGGTACCCT